ACACACACACACACACACACCAAAAGGGTACTGTACCTGTGCAAGGGCCCAAGGGAAGTAGTGCGCCGACCAGCGCACTGTACCTGTCCGTGCTGTGCGTGAAATGAGCGCGCGTTGCAGATCCACACACTGCACCACACCACTTACCGGCACCGCACTAGTGCGCGGCAAATACGATTAGTTCTTATGTTGATCGATCGCTGAAGCAGATGAGTTAATCCACGTTCAGTTGGAGTTTTGAATGTGTTTTGTTCGTCTCCCATCCACTCGGTGATTGTGTTTGCCGGTTGTCGATTTGATTCTGAATGTCGCTGTTGCTGTGCTCGGACAACGGCATTGATGTCTGTATTAAACCGACTCTATCGCCAAGCAAAAGAGATTGACGCCGGTGTGCCGACCATCTTCTTAGCCTCTATAGATATAATCATATAATACCTCGTTTACATTTCTTGGTGGAGGGAAGATTGCTGGAATTGTAGGGGGTGGATGGGGGATGGAGATCGACGAGAGGATCGGGATGAGGGGCTGAGGCCGTCCTCTGCCAATAAGTGCAATGTATGGGGTCCGATTCTGGGCTAACATGCAGGAAGCTCAAAAACCGAAATTGGGAGGGAGTGACATGTCTAGCAAGGGGTTGGTTGATTGGTTAGTGTTTTTTTTTTTTTGTTTGTTCCCTGAATTTCTTTTCTCTCTGAGAATAGTAGAGGCTAGTGCGAAGCTGGACCTGATTGGTGTGTTTTGGGTCTGCAACTCTGCGATGATTGACAACCTGTCTCTTATACACATCTAGATGTGTATAAGAGACAGGTGCAATGTATGGGGTCCGATTCTGGGCTAACATGCAGGAAGCTCAAAAACCGAAATTGGGAGGGAGTGACATGTCTAGCAAGGGGTTGGTTGATTGGTTAGTGTTTTTTTTTTTTTGTTTGTTCCCTGAATTTCTTTTCTCTCTGAGAATAGTAGAGGCTAGTGCGAAGCTGGACCTGATTGGTGTGTTTTGGGTCTGCAACTCTGCGATGATTGACAACAGGGCGGCAGAGTTCACAGAACGATATGAAAGGGAGCGCCAGAGTGCCAATAATTCATCCTTGAATGAGGAAGGCTTCCCTCTCTTTATCAACAGCTTGTGGGCGGTATGGAGACTGAAATTTCCTATTACCCTCTCCTCGCTTCTTTGACCCTCTGCTTATTTTCTTCAACCATGGTTACAAACTTATAAAGGTTTTAGCAATCAATGCTGTTTCTTCTTTTCTTTAATGGAACTTGAATCCTCAAATTGGGGAAAAGTATGTGTGTGTGTGTTTTGTATGAGACAGAATACTACCGCGACGTCAATCGCGGCGAGTTGCGCTTGAAAATGCGATCAAAAGTCATACCATCAGAAGGCTGAGTGATCCACATCGTATGGAGAAGGCTCGTTCATCCCGTACACAAAAGCAACAGACGTGCATACATCGACCTCTATGTTTCACCAATCCTACCAACACCACAGGACCATGGCCCGAAGATTAGGCCACAAGACCACAAAAGAAAAGCAAAAGACAATCACAACTAGAAAACGAACGACATAAGACAATCGACAAAGCACAGAACAACGTGCAACAGCGAAAGGTTGGAGGGCAAGGGGGAGGCGGTTGGGCAGGCAGACAACACAAAACAACAAAGCAAACAGGGTGAAAGGCATGGGGTAAACAGATGGGCAAGCATACATCATAAGGCAGCGAGGGAAACAACAGCAAGACAAACGTCAAACACAGAGCAAAGACAGAAAAAAATACAAGTATAAACAAAGCAAAGACTGAAAAAAATAAAACTGATGATAGATTGTTTCGTCGGAATTGCACCGACTCATCAGGAGGCTGAACCCTCGACAATCTGCGGAGTACCGGTTTTGGATGTTTTGGGTCATGAACCCTTTGACCCTTGTTGAAGGCAGATTGCCCACAAGCGGAACATAGCAGCGAACTACACCCGTGTGAAGCACCAGGCAACACACCCGAAGCCACTCAACTGCACAACACCAAAGACGACTGCAAGGAACAACACGTCAAACAGCGGACAGCAGCAAGAAACAACTCTGCGAAGCACCAGGCAACGCACCAGAAGTCACTCAACTGCAGAACGACACCGGCGGCTGCAAGGAACAACACCGCAAGTGGAGGCACAGCACAGTGCCCGTGTAATGAAGCACAAGGCAACATACACAAGACGACCACACTACACGACCCAGCAGCAAGGAACCCACAAGGCACGACACATGAGTGGACAGCTTGGAAGCAGCGCGGCGAAGCACAAGGCAACACGACTAACACAACCAGACTGCACAGCGAACGTAACAGCACACAACGAACAACACGTGACCCAAGCGGGATATGCAGCAAGGCAACGGTGAAGCGCAGACAGCACAAGGCAGCCCACACATCCAACACGGAGCAAAGCAGCACATGACCTACTCACATCACGGGTGAACACCGCAGACTGTTGGTTCCCACCACCGAATGAGCCAGGGAGTCACTCCGCCGAACATCCGTCATCACCGACAGGCAACACAGACGCCCCGAACCAAGCAACCCCCCTAAGAGTGCAGTTGGCACTCCAAACGAGGGACCACCGACTGTTTGGCACTACTTAAGGGTGCTCAGTTGGGCACACAAAAAAAACTTAGAAAAAATCAGAGGGAGGACAGACAACAGAAGAAAGACTGACATACAAAAAATTGATTGTGTGTGTGTGTGTGTGTGTGTGTGTGTGTGTGTGTGTGTGCGCACGAGGGAGACACACACACACACACACACAGACAGAGAGAGACTGAGAGAGAAAAGAGAGAGAGAGAGAGAGAGAGAGAGAGAGAGAGAGAGAGAGAGAGAGAGAGAGAGAGAGAGAGAGAGAGAGAGATGCTATGCACGGTTTTGCAAGATGAGTATCACTGCTTCAGCCAGTTTGATTGGACCTTCACGAATTCATTAACCCTTACTTCTTGTGGTACGTGGGCGCATGCGGCATCCTTGAGATGGCTGGTCGGCCTCACTCCCTGTTGTTGAAGAAGGGGGGAAGGAGGCGTTGTGTCTGTGTGTGTGCATGTATGTTAGGTGCACATGTGCAGGGAGGGGATGGATGTGCTGTTGATTGTTTTGTGTTCCGTGCTGTTAGCTTTCTGAACAACAGCAGGCATTGTCAGTAACGTTTCTCTTTTTCTTTATTTCGTTTCTTTAAATTCTTTTCTTTTCTTTTTCACATTTTTTTGACGATGCCTGTTGTGCCTCTTTCCATGTTTTTTGTGTCCATCATGTATGTTAGGTGCACACCCCACATGTGCAGGGAGGGAGGGGGCGTTGTTGTTCTTTGACGACACCTGTTGAGTGATGAAAAAAAAAAACAATCGAAAACAACGAAAGAAGAACATGGAAAGTGGCACAACAGACGTCGGTAACCTTCCTCGCTGCAGGTGCCAGCTGCTGGCCAAGAAAATCGTGCCAGGCTTCAAAAACCTTCTTCTCTTTTTTTTTTTTTTTTTTCTACTGCACAAAATTATTGAGTAGTCTCTCTATTGTACTAGAGTGTTGTGCTTACCAACGGTGATGATAAAAAAAAAAAAGAAAAGAAAAAGAAAAAGAAGAAGAAGTAGAAGAAGAAGAAGATACACACGGAAATACACCCGTGACCTGTTGAAACACGGACCGGATGTCGAGTTCCACTGGAATCAGATGACGGAAAATAATAGGCCGGTCCGTTCAGACTTGAAAAGTGAAATCTCAAGGCTGTTGCCCTTGACAAAGAAGAAGAAACAAAACAGATGAAAACTGCATAAGGCACTCCATGAGAAGGAAAGAAAAAGCTAAAGAGAGAGAGAGAGAGAGAGAGAGAGAGAGAGAGAGAGAGAGAGGGGAAAAAAAAAAAAAAAAAAAAAAAAAAANAAAAAAAAAAAACAATGCGAGACGAGTAGCAGATCGTAGTTTGCTGCTTCGCCTTCTGGTCGTCGCACAGGTGTGTTTTTTTTTTTTTAATAACTTGATAATATTACCTTGTTATCTATTAGAGTAATGGTCATGACTAAATGGCAAATCCTTTACGGCGGTGGATGGCATGCATGATTTGCAGGTGAGTGTGCTGGACATCGAAAGCACGCTGCGGCATGTTGTCACACTCGTTGTGGTGGACGAGTCGGTCCCTAAGGATGTCAGAGCGGCGAGAGCGAAGGGCATTGCGGTCCTGGGCAAAATTTTTCAAGAAGCGTGAGAATTGTTGGCCAAAATTGATTCCAATTTCTCCCGCTAAATGGTGTCGCTATACCGTCCAGGTGTGCTGGTACCCGGTCCATTGGGTTCAAGGGCCGATTCGCTGGGTGGCTAACTCCTGCTATTGCCAAAGCAGGGGAGAATGAGGGGGGGGGGGGGGGGGTAGATGGGTGGGTGGAGGCGGCAGCAGGGCAGGCTCGTCACGCTGCTGAACCAGTTGCGGCTTCGGACAAGATGCGACTCGCCACGCTGGCGAACCGGGATTACTGTTTAAAGTCATTGCCACTGCAGACAGACGAGTGATGGCGGGAGGACCGTCCAGGCATGGCCACTGCAGACAGACGAGCGATGGCGAGCAGCAGATCGTAGTTTGCAGTTTGCGGACAGACGAGCAATGGCGGTTGGCGAACTTGGTGGGGGACCGTGCAGCATAATAAGTATGGTCGTCTGTTGAAGTCCTCGTCTGGCGCTTGTGCAAACGTGCATGGCTGTGGAAGTGTGGGTCGGGACCCTTGATGTTGGGGGGAGTGGGGGGGGAGGGAAGGGAAGGGCGGTGGGTAGGTACAGAGGGAGAGGAAGGGATAGGGTGAGATGGGGTGGTAATGATGCTTGTTGGGGTCATGCACCCCCTCTTAGTGATGGACAGGAGCAGACAGTGACAGATTATTTTCTAAATTTCCTCCGAAAAAGGGCCATGTTCCAGCTGGTCATGCGTCCATGCTCAGTAAGCCATGAATCCGGTTGCGATACTGAACAGGTTCGTGCGAACACAGTACTATAAGCATGGCACCAGCCGTCAGGGCTTGGCCCTAAGACACGGGCCAGGGTAGCAACTTCAAGGGGTTAGGGTTTATCCAACGTCGGCGAGGACAGCGGCACAGTGCAGGGCGCAGGGCGCCTCTCTCTAGGACAGAGATGGGAGAATCAAGCCCTTGGGATTCGGCAAGGGGAGGGGTTTTCCCCTCTGCATGCGTTGGTTTCCCTGCGCACAGAGATCGGGAGCACCATGGCCGTTGAAAATTTGTATGTTCTTTTTTCTTATGCAGCAACTAAATAATAAGGCAATGTGTCGACGAGCACGCACAGTAAGTTCGAAGTTTGTGATCGGTGCTTCGTCCAGGGCGCCGATTTGTTTCTTTCTCGACAATTGTGCGGTCGCCAAACACGCTGAGGGGGCATGCTCCCACTAAGACGTTTCCGAGGGTGACTAAGATCTGGCGGTGACTACGCGGTGAGGCATCCAGGTGAGCTCCACTAGTTTGGCGATGTCCTTAGTGGCTATGTAAGTGTAACGATTTGGTTGAAATCCCCTGAGGGTGGGTGTGCACAAAAATTGCGCGCAAGGATGTTTGTTAGCCCGATCTCATTCTTGACTGCAGAAAAAGACAAAATGCTCAGTCGAGACCCGGGACTACCCGGGACTTCCCGGGACTAGTCACGATGTGAGGAAGAGGCAGTTGTGGGCCCAGAAGCCCACTTCCAGCGAGCACAGGCTGATTTGAATGTATATTCCTCGAATGCACCTGGCTATGGAGTATGGACCCTCCCTAAAATGTGTACTACTAAAATGTTAACCCCTCATCATCGATGGATGTGCAGTCACGACAGGCAGAAAACTCCGAGGAGGACACAGTTTTCCTCTCCTTCTCGCATCAGTGCGGCAGTCCACAAAGGATCGCGCGCTCCGCCGAAGGGTCTCCTCTTAGCAACACCTCTGGCTTCTTCGCCAAGCTCTCTGCGTCCCGTTGTCTTCTGGGAGTTTTTTTTTTTTTTTTTTTTTTTTTTTTTTTTCCACCGGTTATGCCGCGAGGATGTCGTCGTATCGCATCCCCTTTTCAGTCGATCACATCGCTGCCCTGACTGGGAATGCGGCATTGGTTTACCGATATACATAGTACGTGCAATGGTTTTGTGAAGAACCATTGGTGTGCAAAGTGTGCAGATATGAGTTTGGTTGGAAGCTTCGGACTTTGGAGCTTTGGAACTTTGGAACTTGGAACTGTGGAACTTTGGAACTTTGGATGCTTTGGAACTTTGGAACTTGGAACTTTGGAATTTTGAATGCTTTGGAACTTTGGGACTTTGGAACGTTGGAACTTTGGAACTTTGAGACTGTGTTGAAGAATATGGAGACAAACTAAATGATAGATGCCAGCAGCAGATTTTGTAGCGGGTGCACGCACTGCACGGGCATCATCATGGAATAAAAATATGCAGTCTAATGCAGAGGAAATATATATATCTTTTTCTCCTCTAGACAACCAGTACTTCCAAGCCTGTTTTTGCGGAGGGGGCTTGTGCTGCATGCCAAAGAAAGAAAAAGTGACCCAGTGCTGAACATTTTTTTTTTCCCTTTGTGGCTGGCTTCGCTGGCCAAGCAGATCCGCACAACGGAGCCCCGAAAGGACATACAGCTGTGTCAGAACAAGATAGGTGGGATATGTACTGGAGGGTTAACGTCTGTGAACGGACCGTCATTGGTCTTGCGACCTTCGTTTTTTTGTGTATTATAATAAGTATAGCTGTGTTGATGTCAATGGATCACTTTTTTTTCTAAAGTGATGGGGAGGATCGTGTACATGGAAAACAGAGTGAGGGGTTGACACATATATAACAGTTTGTCACAGCCCCCTACGTGTTTGTTGTCCTCTTCTCCCTCCCCTCCCTCTCTGCCTACAGTTTACTAGGCAGCTCTGTTTGACGATATATATATACGCGCACACACGCACACACGCACACACACGTATATGTGACAATTATATATGATCGCAGGACACAGGAAAACTGGGTGGAATGTTTGGTGGTGGTGGGGGGGAAGGGAGAGGGGGGGGGAGAGGGATGGGATGCAGCACACAACCCTCCTGAGTATGGCTGTTGGTTGGGACAGGGGAGAGGCGTCAGTGCAGGATTGTACATAAAGTTGCGATCAGATCGAGTCGGGCATCTTTTTTGCTAAATGTGTAGGTGAGAATTTTGGAGGGTGGATGCATATTACATAGACAGGAGTGTGTGGGTTAGGTTGGCCTCGAGGATGGGTAGTTCACAGGGCATAAGCGTAGGTGCCCCAGTATGGCGTGCGGGGGTTTCATTTCTAAAATGGGCTGAAGTTCCTTCCTTCTTACCAATCGGTGAAGAACATCCCAACAACAGAGGCCATGCCCAAATACCTGCGCAAGTTTCAGCTAGTGTACGATAAGGAATCGATACTTTAGACTGTTATTGCTCCAGGAGAGAGGAGGAGGAGAAAGAGGAGAGCATTGAAGTCGCACAGTGATGTTGATCGTTTGTCAGCGATCGTTTGGCGTTCCGTGGGGATAGGTTGGGTGGTTGGCTGGTTTGGACTCGCATGCCAGGGCCTTGTTTGAGAATTGGGTCCCAGCTCTGTTACTGCAGTAGTACTCGGCAATCGAAATAGTACCCGCCCCCGATCATTATATCTGTATTTGGTGGAACTTCAAGTCTAGATGCAGTGAGAATGACCGGATGTTTGATTCGGGTGAAGACGGTAGTACTCAGCAAAGAAACGGTCTCAGCATTTCCGTGGGCGATTCCGGCGAACTGCCCAACCTGTAGCCTTTATGATAATAACAAATAATAATAATAACTTTTGAGCAGTAAAAGAGGAGGAAGTGGCAGCAGGCCAGCGGCGCGAGTTCAATCTCATTCGATTGAGTTGGATCAAGAAGAGTTGCAAACATAGAAGTGGTCGGTTACACCGGCGGCGCAACGTCGTTTCAGAAAATGGGGTATTAAAAAAGTTTGCGTCGTGCTTGGTTTTGGGGTCCAGCAAGTGGTGCACAAGGGTATATTGAAGGATCCCTGGAGGCTGAAGGCCCTGGAGTAAGAGGAGGATTAGGAGAGGGAGGGAATGGAAATCGCACAGTTACCTGGAGCTGGATCGACCGTCAGCCTGCACTCACTGGTCTCTGTCACATAGGCTATAGTCAGAAAGGGCTCGTAGGCGGCATAGGCTATAGTCGGAAATGGCTCGTAGGCGGGAGGATGGCGAAGCGATAATGGTATAGCATACATAGTGATGCTTAGGCTGACTATAGGCTGCAGCCTTGGCTTTTAGTGTTAGTGCTTGTTGTGTTGAGGTGTTGGGTTAGCGAACAGGCCAGGGGATGTGTTTTCTGTTTTTTTTTTGAACATACAGCCTTCACAAGCGAGTTGCTTCGGAGCGCATCGGGGATGGCGCAGTTTTGATGCTATAGCATGGTGATAGTATGCTGGCACATGCACTGGAGGATGGCCTAGTGTTTATTGCTATAGCATGCCGACGGTGATGGGTCCGTTGTTGAGCATGTTCTGCGGAATTGCGAAAATGATGCGTAGTGATGGGAGAGGGAGGAGTTTTGTTCGGATGTAATATACATCTGACTGGTGCCAGCTTGTATATCCACCCGTATTGCTGAGGCGGCATTATGGCTGTCTGAATGTCGTAGTGGATGAATGGACGGTTGGCGATAGTAGTGACACTAGCGAGTATGAGTGTGAACTGATGGGGCTCGCTCAGACGGAATTCAGACTGTGTTGTTATTTGCATGTGTGGTCTGTAGCAGTTGCTGATGTCTGTTCACATGGTGATACCCAGATGCCTTGCCATTCCTTTGTGGTCATAGACCTCTATTGTGGAGGTTTGGCGATGCCAGCGCTTGATGTTGAAGATAATTGGCTGGGCTGAGTATGCCAGACAGATTCACCATTCCCGAGAGAGAGAGAGAGAGAGAGAGAGAGAGAGAGAGAGAGAGAGAGAGAGAGAGAGAGAGAGAGAGAGAGAGAGAGAGAG